CCACTTCGGAACTTGTCTTGCAGCCGCTTGGTAGATGACTCCCTAATTCCCACGGTATTAGGGAGTTATCTACCAAAAGGCTGAAAGACCTAAATTGGTCTTTCAGCCACATTTACTAATACTAAGTAAAAGTTACTTAGTATTAGTAAATTTTGCCTCTACTCGCTATTTTTTTTTTTTAAAAGGGGTCCCCCCTTCCCGAGCTGGGGGCCCTAAATTAGAATAAGGGGGGGCTATTCCACGCTGTGTAATTTGACTCATAACACTCTGATTGGTGGATTTCAAACCAACCAACCAGAGTGCTGTGACAGGTAAATGTAGAGACTTACCTGTCATTCTCTTCCTTTACCTGTCAGAGCACTCTGATTGGATGGCTTAAACCCACCAATCAGAGTGCTCTGAGCCTAATTGCAGGGCGGGGCAAGATTTTAGAAGAAAGAAAACATCAAATGGTAAGTTTATTTTTATTTTTTACAGGTACTTGGTCCCCCCTCATTATTTTTACGGTGAGGGTGGTAGGTAGGGGTTAATTTTTTGGGGACCCCTAGTCACCTGCGAATTAGGTCCCCCCTCATTCTAATTTAGGGCCCCCACCCACCGCTCAGGGGTGGGGGCCAGGGGGAGGACATTAGGTTCCCCCCCAATTAGTATTTAGGGCCCCCACCCACCGTTTAGGGGTGGGGGCCAGGGGGGGACATTAGGTCCTCCCCCCTTATTTTACTTTAGGGGCCCCACCCGCCGTTCAGCCACAGGCTGCTCACTGTTTAATAGACATGCCACTACTCGCGGTATAGCGAGTAGGGGCATAATTTACTAATACTAAGTAATCTTTACCATGGGAATTAGGGAGTTATCTACTTATTCATTCATGTCATTACATTGACTGGCCAATTAACTTACATTTTATTTGAATGTATGTTACTTGATTGTTGTAAGTGTTGCAAATGCTTGCAGCTGAATCCTGGCTATGTTTGTATACTTTTTATTTAAAATTGTATACAGTGTGGGGGGGGCGGAGCCAGCGCCTGAGCGAGACGGTCGCAGCTTACCACAGCTCCGTCGGCCGACCCAATAACACAGCCGAAACGGAGGCAAAATCTGCAACGGGGTCCAGAGAAAAAGTCCCCCTGCATATCCCAGACCATGGGGAAAAAAACGAAAAAGCACAGAGCGGAGCTGAGCTCCGGATCCAGAGATATAGGCGCCTTTATGCGCCCGACTCAGCGACACGAGTCAGCCAAGATGGCGCCGGCTGAGGCCTTTACATCGCAGTCCTCGGACGACGACAGCATACCGGACCCTGTGACTGCACAGTCTGAGGTACGACCTAAGCCCCAACAGCCACCAGATCTTGGCGACCTAGCACCATCAACGAAAGCCGATATAAAGGCCATGATGATTGAAATTAGGGTGATGTTTGACGCCGATATGGCACTGATTAGAGGAGAGGTAAACACCCTTGCAGGCCGTGTAACCTCAACAGAGGAAATGCTCAGAAGCACTAGGGTGGCGCAAACAGCCACAGATGCAACTCTGGGATCCCTACAAAAACAATGCACCACATTAACAGCCCAGCTAGCAGGCATGGAAGATAAAGCAAAAGCGCGCAATGTGCGTATTAGAGGGGTACCGGAAACTGTTAATAATATGGAGCTACCTCACTACTGCAGAAGGCTGATAGCCACACTGTTACCACCAAAACAGGCTAAACAGGCTGGAATTGACTCTTGCTTTCGACTCCCTAAGGCCACAAAGGCACCTCAAGATGCCCCAAAGGATGTATTACTTAAACTGGTTCGGGACTCTGACAGAGGGGCCCTTATGGGAGCAGCACGGGGTTCCCCTACAATCACTTTTGAAGGAGCAAGCTTGACTCTATACAGGGACCTGTCAAGACATACCCTCACGTGGCGCAGAACTTTCCGCCACATCACGCAACACCTACGTGACAACTCTATCCCTTATAAATGGGGTCCCCACAGACTGATGGCGGAACATAATGGAAAGACACACCTCTTACTGACTATTTCGGAAGCATCACCCTTCTTCCAATCGATGGGCATCCCGATACCTGTGATGAACACAGAAGCCTGTCCACCGTGGAACATCGCGGAAGTTACTCCCTTTGCACCCAGAGGAACGGCACTAAGGGCGGCGGACCAGCAAACCTGAGATGAGCGGACACTCACCCCTACAACTTTATATAATGTACTTTGTCGGGGAGATCACAACCCCCAGTTCAAGGCCTCTTAGGCCCATTATTTACACCAGTTTATATGCATATATGCACGACTTCTCGTTACGTTGATACTTATTCCAACATTTATAATCACTTTAGCTAGAATCTCACAGCTCAGATTAAGGGATTTCACCCCACCCTGGCTCCGTAAGCTGACTGCCTAAGACATGTCCTATTTGTTATTTTAGGTTACCTAGCTGAGATTTATTGTAGGTCTACACCAACTTAAAGGCGGGAACTCCTAATCGCAAACCCCTAAACTCTAACTCTAACAGTCATAGCAACATCATTTAAACTGTGCTGTTATTAAATGAGTTCTAAGGAGCTTTTTCTAACACGCTAAAACAATGCTCACCATAAACTTACATTTATTTAATCCATATCTTGCCTTTCTCAGTTTAATGGAAAACTCATTGAGAAGAGCCTAATGATGCTATGTGTAATTTGGCTCATTCTAAAAAAACACGTTAAGAAGAAGATATGATGGGAACTTTCCAAAAAAGGTTCCAATGTCTCAAGAGGCAGCATGTTAGTAAAGGGGACCAAAAGCTGTAGGTAGCGTTTATTGCATATGTACAAACAATTACTTTTCTATATTTTTTTTTTTTTTTTTTTAAAGAAGCAGAGATCGGTGCTTTCACTGGCACACGATTGCATAACTGGAAAATGTGCTGGTGTAGGGGGAAAAAAGAATTAGGATAAAAAGTTTAAAATGGTAATGCAGGAAGGAAGCGAAAACTGGCGAGAAGATGGAGAGAAAGTGAATATGGCTAATATATGTTTGGGAGAATGCACAATTTAGGTGGTCTATATATACAGTTATGCTCAGATCCCACATGAACAGTAAAGTGGCCCTCTTGTGGACCTCTATACTTTTTGGTAGCCGAGACCTCCAATTTCCCCCTGAGCCCTATCCCACGGTCCAGACTTTGTGAGTCATTTCCTATAAAACATACTGGAATAGGAGCCACTGACACCTGCCCAGCTTCGACAGTAACAAAGTATTTCTGTGTTCTTTCAATTGTCTGTTTTAACTTTCCATAAGTTCTTTGCTCTGGAGACAGAAGATCTGGGACAGTGTTCAGGAAATGGAGTTTAATTCTCTTTATAATTCACTCTGACATCTTGTAGATCCCCCTCAGGATAAGGGGGGCTGAGAGGCTTACATCTAAAATGCATAAAAAAAGACTTCACTTCTACAGTCTGGTTCAAGCTTTATATCAACACTGTAGGAGTTACTGTATCTTATTATATTGATTATCAGTGTTTGAATGGCTTTACGCCAGTATACTTTCATGAACTAATTTCAGCAAGTATGCCTGCAAATAAACCTATGTTAATTAATAAATAGAATATCCACTTACATTACATGTGTCTAGAACAGGGGTAGGCAGCCTTCAGCACTCACGATGTTGTGGACTACATCTCACATAATACTCTTATAGCCACAATGCAGGCAAAGCATCAAGGGAGATGTAGTCCACAATATCTGGAGTGTCAAAAGTTGCGTTTACTTCTGCTATGACACTATCTTATTGAAACAGCTTGAAGTGGCTTTACCATAAAAAAAAAAATGTGTATGACATAATCATCTTGGGTAAGTATACATTTATTTCATACATCGTGAGGTTGAATTTGCCAGGAAAGTTATACATTTAAAGGGTTAGGCAAGCTATGGCATGCATCATGGGAGATATAGTCCACAACATCTGGAGTGCTGCAGGTTGCCTAACCCTGAATTAAAACATACACTGATTTGGATGATTGATTGCTTCTTCCTCGCATGAGTGTTCACCATTACTTTATTTTTAAAATGCATTGATGGAATGCTAATGCTACAGCTTATAACTACAAGTTACAATTTAACCCATTAGAGGCCAATGACTGCCTGTGCTGATTATAATTAGCTTTTTAAGGATCCTATTCCAAAATGGAATGTCTTCCTCATTATACATCAAGTCAATATACAATTACCAGGGCCAGCGCTACCATAAGGCGAATAAGGCAATTGCTTGGGGCACCGAACTACAGGGGGCGTACACCGGGAAGTTTTTTGGTGGGCTGCCCTGCTGCTGTCAGGGGCTGGAATGCTGGGTGAGCGGCTTCTGAGCCACACCCCCAGCGCAGCCATTCAGCTGCTGGGTTCCTCTCCGCCGTTTGCCTGCTCAGGGAGCGGGGTTTACTGTAACCCCAGCAGTGTACACTGCTTCCTGCAGGCAGGGGAAGCCAGGACATGACCTGGTATCCCGGCTGCCCCCTGTCTGTGGGCACCGGAACCACTCTGAGGGGAACAGGAAGCAGCCAGTGCTCACAGTGCACGGCTCTCCTGTTCCTCCGGCAGAAAGAAGAACAACTTCCTGCAGCCTGGACCTCTTCTCTCCACAGCACCCAGGTAGGCTAAGGGGGATTGTTTATTGTATGAATGATTGTAAATTGGTGTGTGTGTGTGTGTCTGTGTGTGTGTGTTAAATTGCTGTATTTCTGTGTGTAAATAAAGTGTGACTTTATGTAAAGTGCTGTGAGCTTACGTATGTCTTATCAGCCCTCCCATGTGTCTCAGCAGCACCCACTACAGGTGCCCCATGAGCCACCCCATGTGTCCCACTAACCCCCCTCCCAACCCTTCATGTGTCCCTATTCCCCCCTCCCAGCCCTTCATGTGTCCCTATAGCCCCCTCCGTATCCCCCATGTGTCCCTATAGTACCCATGTGTCCCTATACCCCCTATAGCCTGTACCTTGCTGTAGCGTGGCCGAGCATGCAGACCGCAGTAGAGGAGTTTCTGTTCCCCTACACGGTCTGACAGGAAGCAGTCTTGTGTTCTCTGTGAACACTTCCTGTCAGACCGGGTAGGGGAACAGAAGCTCCTCTACCGCGTTCTGTCGGCTCGGCCATACTACATTCTGTGACCGGCCGGAGGGGAGCGCCGGTTACTGTGTAATTGTGCAGTGCGACCTGCTTTCCCGGTATCTCAGTGGGCCAGTCCGGCCCTGGTGGGGGGTGAATGTACAAGCAAGGGCTAGCATATTTTGCAGGGGAAAAAAATCTCAAACTAGTTTTGCAAGCTTGTCATCCCACCAAATCTCACTGTGTAGTGATTATAGTCCGCAAAGAACGACAGATTTTACCAGAAACGTCTCTATAAAAAAAGGATTTCTGGTAACCTTACAAATGACACACTGTATAATGATTAAAACATGTTGCTAATTTTATCCGTATTTGGCAACTATAGATTTTGCCCACAACTTTCCCCAATGTCCAAATGAGACCTTCCACCCTTGCTAATTGTATCTATAGAATTTTCATATTGCACAACACAGCCGCCATCTGATTAACCCTTTCAATACACTAGTACCTCAACAAGGATGAAGTCTATTGTACGATCTTGAATGAAATGGTTAAACTTAAAATCCCACTTTTCCCACCATCCCCCCCACTTTGATTCCGTTCTTATTCCATCTGTTTCTTGTTACATTTTTTTTCCAGCCTCATTTCACTGCTTTTGCTTAACGTAATTTTTAACCATGAAGGGTGGACGAAAACCCAGGCGTATAGATCTTTAATGTGGCGCTGGTTTTGGCTGCAACGCTCGCGGCCATAAAGTTTCACGCATCATTAGTCAAGAACCTATGAAATGTAGATGTCATTTTTACAGAAAACACATACACACGTCTATTATTTCTTTTTCCCGGCAAACGGCCAAACCTCAGTCTATGTTTCTCTTAATCTGGGTTTTTTTACTATACCGTCTGACCTGCTTTTCTGTACACCGGGAAACTCAGACAAGGCATATATTTTATCAGCACTCATTTTAAAGTATGTCTGCGCCAGGGATATACTAAAAGGGGAGTGCTGTTTGGATCAAGTGTGGTTCGCTCCTTAACCCTTTGAGTGCCAGGAACCTAACAATGCTAATCACATTCTTCAACCCTCTGCCCCTGCATAGACTGAATGCAAAGGAGTTGGATTAAAAATCACCATAAAGTGATCATTTGAGTGCTCCACATTTTTTGTTTATGTGAGTAGATGGATGTTTCTAAATGTTAAATAAATCTCTTGATACAGATGTGTATATATAATAGGTGATTTACCATGATACACTGACGTTTTCACTCATTTCTAAGAATGTCTCTGTATGTGTTAGTAACATTATCCGGCTCAGCATTACACATTTTATCAACAAAGAAAGGAGGAAATGCCGGAGCCTTGCCAGAAATTAAACCTGCATCCCTGATATTCAGGACTTGATGCATTAAAAGAAAACTTCATGCACCATAATCACTACAGCTGACTATGTCATAGTTTAACTACTTCCATCTCACATTAAGTAGTCAAACCATTTTAATGTGGCCTACCAAGTCGTGCCAGGTGTCCCCAGCCACATCACCTGCGTCCGGTCACCTCCTACATGAGAATCTGGTTAGCTCTACAGCAGAGCCATGCAGGAGCACACTCACTGGCAGACTAATTACCGTGGGATGGCGTCATGGCACTCCTGGCACCATAACCACCATAGAGTATTGCATTAACAAAATATGCTAACTCACTGGATACACCTCACCTACCTATCCATTCATCCATCTATCGACAGACAGATAGATAGATAAAAAATATTGTATATTATTTGATGTTATGGCTAAGCATTAAACTTTTCTGACTAATACCAATAGACAGAAAGATGGACTGACAGGACCAGCAGAACACAATGTTTGATTTGTGGTGTTTATTGTTTTCTTCAATTCACATCTTATTTTTGCTTAAAGGACCACTATAGGCACCCAGACCACTTCAGCTTAATGAAGTGGTCTGGGTGCCAGGTCCAGCTAGGGTTAACCCTTTTTTCTATAAACATAGCAGTTTCAGAGAAACTGCTATGTTTATGTTAGGGTTAATACAGCCTCTAGCGGCTGTCTCTTGACAGCCGCTAGAGGCGCTTGCGTGCTTCTCACTGTGATTTTCACAGTGAGAAGACGCCAGCGTCCATAGGAAAGCATTGTAAATGCTTTCCTATGAGACTGGCTGAATGTGCGCGCGGCTCTTGCCGCGCATGCGCATTCAGCCGAAGAAGAGGAGAGGAGGAGGAGAGACCCCCGCCCGGTGCCGGAGAAAGAGGTAAGTTTAACCCCTTCCTCTCCATCCAGCCCGGTGGGAGGGAGACCCTGAGGGTGAGGGCACCCTCAGGGCACTATAGTGCCAGGAAAACAAGTATGTTTTCCTGGCACTATAGTGGTCCTTTAAGCCCATATTATGACTTTGCCACCAGAGATTTCTTCACTGGAAGCAGTTTGTATTCGAGAACATAAATGCAGGTCTGATCATGTACTCTACTACTTGTATTTTCTTTTAGGGGCCAAATATCAAAATGCAATAGGTAAAAAGCTAATGTTCTCATAACCAAAGGTACAGTATTCATGATATTTCACAATCCCTTGAATAATGAAATGTGCAGCACTTAAATCATAAAGTTGCTTTTACTGTGGTCCAAAATGAAGATTTCACAAAGTCTAAGAGTTGTACATAGAACATAACCTTACCTTGCTGTTTTGTAATCAGCTTCTTCCAAGTTGTGGACATTACAGGTCCTGGTGGAGCAGTGCCCACTAATAGTCCTTTCTCAGTCAATGCTTGTCCTTTTACTGGTACAGCTGAACCTTTTGCAAAGTCCTCCATTTTGACAGAATCTGAAAATAAAGTGAAGAATAAAATAATCAAAACTTTTATTTTGCTTGAGTTAGAGAGCTTTGTATTGAAAGGGTTTAACTAATCAAAAGCAATAGACTGCCCTCCTAGGAACAATTTACACAAATAATGAAGAACTACTAAATATATTCTTTATAGCGCACCTGGCATTAATAAAAAAAATAATACATTTAAAAAATATATATATTTATCTCCATTAAAGTGGATGGGACCACCACAAAATTCCAACAAAAAAAGGACAAACAACTAAAAAGGGGGCAAGATTTGCTGGTTTTAAGCGTAGAATACGTACAGCTACACAATACTCTCTCTCTTACACAGAGGAATGGCAGTTTGAACCAGTCTACTTACAATTCAACCAAAAAGGATTTCTGGCTAAATTACTGGATGTTCCCTGCTATGACCCTTTCTGGGTCCAAAGATCTATTCTTCAATGTGATACCAAGTTGCTAAGTATAACAAACATTTAGGTGGTTTTCAAATCAACAATAACACTTGCATTGCAGATAGTGGTGTTTCTTCGTTTTTTTGTGTGATGATAACAGCTTCTCATAAGGACATAAACATGTACGGATAAAAAACAAATAACATGACTGGACACCTTGCTCTTACCATTTTCGATCTTGAAGGACTTCTGCAGTGTGGGAGATATAGAAAGTCTTTCTGTTTGGGTTCTTGACTTTGCCTCTAATGTAAAATGCTTCTTGTGATCAACAGTAGGGTAAGGAAGGTTTGTCTTACTAAGATGTGACTGAAGTGTAGATAATTCCTTGTTTAGAGGAGGTTCTGATGGAAGGAACCGAATGGAAATCCTTGTCGGTGGTGTCATATGAGGGGCTGCTTGTTGCTTAGCTTGCAAGTCAGTGGCAGTGCTTGAAGGCTTGGTTTCATTTTCTTCTACCATTGACTCCTCAGGGATGGCGTTAAAATCCTTCTGATAATGCTGGTTATCGTTTGTGTGGATTAACTCTATGTCTGCTGATATTACTTCATTTCCATCTGGTTCAATCTCACGTAAGACTGAATAACTCTCTGTTGTCCTATACGCAGAATTATACTTCTCTGAAGGTTCTACTTCATGCAATTTAGATCTTAAGTTATCATCAAGAAAATTGTTCTCTATTTTTTTCCTTAGAGCTGCCGATGTGACATATGATGAAACATAATTGACTTCATCATGCAATTCCACAGAATTATTTAATAATGCTTCACTTTCCTGCTCATTGTCACTTTCTATCTGAAGTTTTTGTATTGGCGTAACAGGTCTACCTATCTCCTCTGAAAAATTTGGAGCAGCAGAGGTTACTAGCTTTATGGTAGAGACCGTTGGATGAACTGTACTCAAACTCTGGGCTGTGCTGTCTTGTGCAGTCTCAACATAATTTTCCTTTTGCGAAGACTTTGGTAGCTTCTGAGTTGATATCACTTTGGCTTCTTCATTTTTTGTAAGAATGGTTGAGCTCTTGGACTTAGAGTTAAGTTCTAATTTATTAGAATCCCCAGGTTGCAATAGGCTAAGATGTTGCAAAGTCCACAATGATTCCTCTAGACTTGCATGACCAGTGGTTACTAAGCTGATTTGGCTTGCATCTTCGACAGCCAGGACCGTTTCATCTTCCTTTCTTGGAAAAAGATCAGATTTATTGTCTAGATATGTCTCCATGTTTTCTGCCGACTCCTGAGATGGTCTGAAGGCAGCTGTTGTTCGTAAATTGCCAATTCTATATCCAGGTGGTTTGGTATTTGATAAATCATCCACACGTGCTTCTTCCAACGAGAGAACACTTGGCATCCCCGACTTTTGGACCTGCAAATCATTCTCCGAAACTGAAATATTTTTCCTTGAACTGTCCTCTCTTAGTTCTTGAACCCCTTTTCCATTAGTTACATAGGCAGCATTGGCTGAAAAAACTGAGGGTTCAGGAAGTGCTAATGTAGCTAAGAACAGCCACATGTAGAGTATTGAAACTTTAGCCATTATTTCTCCCCCCTTGGTGTAGTGATTGTTACTTCATATATCCACTTGCCTAAAACAAAGTAAGACACAGAGGAGGATACACCCAGGAAACCTGTAAAAAAATAGAAAAAAAATAATCTAAAATTAGCACTAAATACAATGCAATGCAGCAGAGATTATGCTAACATTTCTGTTAGTCTTTTAGGTGCAGCTTAGCACATTCA